GAGGAAGGCTCTCTATGAGGTGGATTGATTCAATGACTAGGGTAGGTGTGTCAGAGACAAGGACACTGAGGTTGGCTCAGGATAGAGCAGGGTTGTTGTGCAAAGGCTCGCAGGTGAAGTGAAGGCACCTCACATCACCATCACTATTGAGAGCTTACGGAACTGCCTTCCCAGACAAGGACGAGTTACAGGAGAATATGCAATCTGAATCTCGGAACACGGGAAGGTGGGCACAGTGGCAAGTGGGATTTACAAGTGCACAACAAAGCACTAGTGTCTGGGGAGGGGAACAGGGTTTAAGAGAGAGGAGCAGCATGGTTGTAGAAGACCCTGTCTATTAATGCAGAACACTGTAGTTTGAGGTGGGAATGGGAAGGCCCCCAGGTGTCAGCTCTGAGAATCCCCTAAGGAGGGAGCTTGGAAGCATCCAAATCTTTAAGAATCTTGTATCAAAAGGGCCCCACTCTGGGCCTTGCTTGGGACGCCTCCGAGGGATCTGGCTTCCGAGGTCAACTTTCCTGACAAAGCACACCTGGACCGCTCGCCTCTCTTCTCCAGCCTCACTCACTGCAGGACGAAGTCCCCGAGGAAACTCACCATCGTCTTCTGAAGCGTCTGCAGGATTACGGGCATGTCATGACGAAGGCCAAGGTGTCCCTTCAGCAAGGAGGAGGCGGCGTGCTGGGTTACCGTGCGAAGCCGACGCTGTGCTCTCTGCGCAGCTCGGGAGGTCCTTCTGCAAGACGGTCACGTCAGGACTAGCGCTCGAGGCACCACACCTGACACCTGCAATGGACAGAGGACGGCAAAGAGACACTGTGGCTAAAAGTGACCGGTGGTGGCGAGCTCTGGTGGCCTAGTGGCAAGAAGCTGCAACTGCAATCTCAGAGGCGCACGGTTCGAATCCACCAGATGCTCTGCCGGGGAAGGAGGAACAATCTCCTCCTGGACCAGTCTCATCTGATGTGACGGTACACACAAAAAATAATGAAATAAAATATATTTTTTAAAAAGTGACAGGTGCTGTCAACCAGACGCAGAAAGAAAGCAGGGTCACGAGGAAATGAATTCTGAAAAAGAGAAAGGCTGACCCAGAGGCCCGGCCTCGCACATCTTAAGCACTGTGACACGCAACTTTCTCCTTATGGTTTACTTTAAGATGATGATGATAATAATAATATT